ACGTTACATTACTGTTGTTGTCATTTGCATGTCTTAAAGGATCATACTTTCAGTACATTGCACTAAATTTGTAGCAAGCAAAATCACTGGAGGGCTGAATCAAGAAAAATGACTTTTCTTTCCATTGGCTTACAAATTTGGCATAGGCCTTGGCAACAAAAGGTAAATTAAGTCATTACTAGGCTGTCATCACACTGCCCCTGGCTAAGTTAGTTTGGTAAGTTTATATAGCTTTTTAAGACACTGAATTTGTGTAAAGTGTGTATTAATTCTTTTACAGAAACGAAAAATCGATGGCCACCGATTCCCTGTATCGAAACAGTCCACCCACTGGGTTGTGGTCATGACACTTTTTACAACGTCTAAACTACTTATTTGAAGCAAAGTAGCTTGAGTAGATTCGGTATGATTGTTGTGTAGAACCATGGCCTGGCAGCGATAGCGCCCGTGAACAGAATACTTATAGATAAATATTCTTATGCAGAAGTTGTGCGCACATACGGCCTACTCACAGAAGGTATAACCTTAATTATTGGTTGATGCATTTTTTTTGTGGACTTCTCGAAAAAGGGGACTCAATTTGGCACTCCTGGCGCTCCACTTGAGCAACGCTCCATTAGCTGATGAAGTCAGCAAATTTCACTTCATGTATTGTTGCTCTGTGAGCCCATATTGAGTTAATCGAGACCCACCAGATGCTATAACGCTCAGCATTTTCGGCGTAACCTAGATGTAACAGAGTTTACATATCTATTTCGGGACCAATTATTGCTTCAAAAGAGCCTATATTCACAAAATGCTTCGCCCTACATCCACTATATAGAATTCAAATACACGGCGAACAGTATTAGACCCTCATCCACAAAAAATACATAAATAAAAAAATGCGACTGGTTGGTCGGTTTGTTGTATCACTCAGAAAAACACTGGGTATAACGGGAAGCAGAACACCACAAATGCATCAAATCATGGTTTCACGTATATAACTTGTTCAACACGTAATTAATTACCGAAAATGGAGCCATTTACATTACAACCTCAACATCAGGTGGCCAAACCGTATTCCGTGAAGAATTCTAAAACACATTCATGTCAATTTTGAATACGTGTTCCGATGATTTTAGTGTTTGTAACTCTAAACGTATGCAGGCTTCGTGGTAACTAGAGATAGTGAATCGAGATGGCGGCTATCAGTCTAGAAAATAAGTGCGGTATGTAAGACAAAAAACCATCTGATTCACAAGTTCAGACGCCGACAGTTTATGAGTGCTTTGTACAGAGTCAATAGAATAATTTGGGAGTTACGTTGCCTCCGACTCAAGTCCAAGTCAACAACTCTCGCTGTGTTAGGTGGACTGATGAGGTTTCATGATAAATTATCTGCATAACACTTAGATGTTTACCGCTCAAGCTGGTGATTTTATCTAGGACCATTTTGTGTACTTCATCATCGGCGGATATCGCCCAGCAGCCATTCTGTCAAGGATCAATAATTTAGGTCTCATTTGTGGTCTATTCTGAATACAGAGGTAAACCAAGATACAATAAATTTGACGCCAAGTTAATAAGTATGACTTATCTTGCGACAAAACGAGAGCTCAGACAGCACTTCAATAGTAGTGTATCACGTCTATAGAATGTATCGCGGTTTCTCGAATATGGTACCAACTGAAGCACAAGGCGGCCTGATGCAGCACACTCGACTGCCTAAAAGCACCGTAAACGAGGGATTCAGCTGGGTTCCAAGTACGCATCTCGTCAAAACCAAATTGGTCTGTAAATGAGTGCATTTCTCTGGCACCGTAAAGAGGGATTCAGCTGGGTTCCAAGTACGCATCTCGTCAAAACCAAATTGGTCTGTAAATGAGTGCATTTCTCTGGAGATTACCTGTCTTGAAACAAAACGAGAGCAAAGACAGGACTTTCCTGCTTATTGAGAGCATAACCTCAGTGCATAACACGACTAGCTCGCCACCGTAAAATTGAGTCAACCTTTACTATACATAGATAGAGGGCCCAGTGACTAAATGGAATTAAGAGGACCAAAACCATTCAAAATTTCTTGCAACTTTGGACCTTCCTCTGTTAAGAAGATTCTTGAGGGTGATGCGCCTTAAAATCACCTGGAAGAAATATTCAACCACCGATAATATGTCAGCGAAATGCTGACTTTGATGAGGAGTATAATGTGGATTTCGGAACGAAATAGAAGAGGCTGACAGGAGTTACAGTTCTTAAGAGGGTCGGAGCAAAGTCAAAACACAGGCTGAAGTGATAAAACCCACAGCTCATTTGCCTTCTACACTGCATCGAGGAGTTGTAGAACCTAAATCTGTTAAGTGCGGTCCAACTGAAAAGATGTCATTATCGTCACCATCAGCAGTTCAACCTTACTATCCAAAACTGTTAAGTTGCGGTCTCATTTATTTGAACACCTTATTGTGGACAAAAGGATAAAGGCAGATGGGAAAAGAACCTAGTGGTTGCGTTTCACAATAATTTCCAGGTATCTACATTTTCAGACACTCATTTAGGCAGTTTGGATAGAAACTGAAATAACGTAATATCCATTATAAATCAAATCTTGCGGTGTCTCCGACCACGCAAGGGGGATCAGGCGAATACCATTCTGCCATTCTGCCAGGTAGAGGCTGGCCACCCTTCCGCTCGCGCTACCATACACTTAGCCCCAAAGCAGCACTCTTTTGCCAAAGTGTGGCCACATTTGTATCATAAGCGACTTATGACACGAAGCTTTTCCACCAACTACAGCTGCTTCTAACGAAATATGCAATGACCTTGTGTTCACTTACTGTCAGAAAGACCAAGATTTTGAGCATATATTTGAACACTGCACCCAAAATCACCTCCTCCACGCACCCGATTACTTAACCGCAAAAAATGAAGGTATCATTTTCAGCAACACCTAAAGAGTGCTAATAATCAAGAGTTGAGGAACAGTACGCAATCTTTTAGAATAATAACCATTTACCCATTAACATCGGTCTTTGGAACACTATTGCGAATATAGACAGACCATTAAACAATGGTTTACTGGGCCTTTGGGATCCTTTTTAATGTGTAAACCACTTAACAGCGTCATAGAATAGAGATTCCCTCGACCCTTTTTGAACTCCTGTTTTCAGAGAATGGTGACTTTTCAGTAACCAGACAGTTCGTTTCGGGGACAAACAGGGCATCTCTACCCACCGAGATAATGCAAATATGTTACATTCGGCTCATTAATCTGCTAAGTAGCGTCGTGATAGATAAACATCTTATCAACACGGAAAAACAAGCTGTTGAAAGGCGTTCATATTTTTATTACTGTGGTAAATTAATTAAATGAACCTCAACGCACACATACATTAGGCCGTAGAACATGAAAAAGTAATGATTTTTTAACGCAAGTTTTGAAAATATTGAGAGGAAATGTATTTGAGCAGCGTCTTGACGGATAAACATGTTCTTCAGAGCATGGACTATACAAGCTAATTGGTGAGAAATCTCTCTATTCCCCTGAGTGAAATTATAGAACATACATTTCAGCCACTCAACCAAACACCACTGTTAGAGCCGAACAAATCTCCAGTGCTTTTGCCCAGTGCTTTGTTGTTTACGCAATGCTCACCTAGTCAATAACCGAACTCGAAAAACGGTAGCCTGGCCTTCCCATGAGACCTAATTCGAGATTGTGTAGAGACCAGGGTCTCTTCGTCGCCAGTGCTTCAATAAGTGAATCAATACGAAGCACACTACTATTATTCCCAAATTTAATCTGCCTAATGCTGTCCTTCTTATCAAGGCTGATTTTGTTTGCTGATGTCCAAAATATTTCTTTAAAATAATGAAATTTAGAAGTAGTCACAGCCGAAAGACTGCCCTCAAATGCAAATTTTACAAGTCTTCAAGCATGTTCGCATACAAACTGCCTGCTTTCTTCCGAATGAAGCAGACAGATACGTGAAAACCAGGCTGGGTTCCGTCCTGCAAGAGGACGCATCGACCACATTTTAATACTTTATCAGAACCTGGAACAGCCACACAGCTTCCAACAATAAAAGATGGTGGTCTTCCTTGACTTTAGAACTGTCGTTGACTCTGTACGATACCCATCAACGGTTGAATTTACAATGCTGCGATGCGCTCCATATTATTAAACAGGTCAGACACCTGGCCACTGCGTACTGTGAATACCAAAGAACTTTCAGTGTTTGATATCGATGTCTTTGGAGGATCCATCGAGTCTGGTAGGAACATCAGATGGATAATTATGAAGTACATCAAATGGGTTTCAGGATAAACAACTAACCCAGCACAAACGGTAGCACTCTATAGGTTTTGCTGGCTTGGTCATGTGCCTCATAAATTGGTGTTCTCGGAGAGAACCTTTTGCACAACGGTAGTGACAGTCACTGTCAGAAAACAGCTGTGCTGTTTATTGCCGTATCCCCAGATGGCGAACACGAGATTGGACATTATGAGGTATGATCTATCTGCGCGCCTAATGACGCTCATTCATCTGAGCCGTTGCTTTCAATGCACAGCTGCCGTACCGATATTCCAACTGAAAACTCCACAGACACTCGTCTATTGACGCATGTTATATCAGCTACCGCCTGCAAGTGTAGCTATTTACCGCACCTTACCCCCAGAATAATCAACGACAAAACTTTAGCAGCCATAACCACTGCACAACAAGTACGTGGTTTTACAGCTGGAGATAATAATGATGGTGAACAGGATGAATATCAGGGGTAGCTCTAAACTAGAAGGACAAATTTCACGTGGATACAAAAGTGATACGGATAATCGAACGGTTTAGCACAACTGTAAATGTTGGCGCTTTCGGCACCCGCGCAAAAGTGGTTTGGTTGATATGACTACAGAACTCCCGATTTGACACACAAGTGATCACAAGGTTGATGTTTCCCACGAAATAATCGGAAACAAAGGCATTAGAATCATTAATTTTGGTCAAGTGGACGGAATAAGCTCACCTTGACATAAATACCGCTATCCGGCTTCTCCTTGATCTCAAGATGCTTTGACTGATCGCGATGGAGAAGGTCACGAAGTTCTTCTTTGTAGATTTCCAGGTAGCTGGCTCTGACCAAATATTCAGCATCTTTTGACTTCGAAATATGTTCAAAAATGTGATAAAATGAATTCGGCATAACTCCACGTAACTGCGGATCGTCCTTAACACCTTGAAAAACAGGAGTTATGGAAAATAAGGAGGACCTTGTATCGTGAATGTCTTGCCAGTCCCCGTTTGCCCATAGGCAAATATGGTACCATTAAATCCTTCGAGAACACAGTCTACTAGGTCACTGAATGTTTTTTCGTAGAGTTCTCTCTGGTTCGCGCTAAGAGTGTTATGCGTGGAAATCAAAGATTCAACCTACTGTTCGTCATATACAGCGTCAAACGTGAACCGTCTAGGTAACTCACCCGCCCGAGGTTTCGGATTATACAGTTCTATTGTGCCATGACTTGTGTCAGCATAGGCGCACCTGAAAAGTCGACATAGCGAAAGAAACCAACTTTCCATGACCATCAGCTATTTCTCTGTCATTAAGCGGACGACAGCGAATAACAACTTTGACGCACTCAGAGTTCTCCGCCCTTGCCTTAATTCAATGTCTTATAAGGATACTCAGCTACCATTGATTCTCATCAGTCTGCGTTCAGATCAGCCGACCGAAGCCAGAAGTCCTGATAGGAAAACGTCCTAACAACCAACAACGCTAAATTTAAAAAGTGCGGATGATCTCAAGGATGAATCCAGGCCATATGTGGCACAACCAAATCAGGGATTCATATATTGGTGCACAGGATCGAGGTTTTCACCCAAGTTTTCAGGGTTGGATTCATTCTTGTCGTTCAGCGGTTTCCGTTCATCCGTAAGGAACAAGCGAAAAAAGGGTGTAAGACCGCGCTTTATGTTATCAGCGCGAGGCAGTAAGCTTGCAAGCCTGAAAATTTAATTAGTGTTTTTCGTCCGTGTTAGTTGGGTCAGTCGTGAAAAACCTGAGAGCCAAACCTTGCACATACAGAGCATAAGGAGGAGTCAGGTACTCGGAGACTCGATTTTGGGAAGTCGGAAACTATGGAAGAGTAAAAAAGTCCTCCGAATTTGGCTCAGGTTTAGCTGAACAGGTACGAGCTTGTAAGACAGCCAAGAAACGTTTGGAAAAAATTCGTGTTTCACTGATGACACTACCTCATATATACCTAAATGACATTGGATAGATCAATACAGAATGCGTCCCGAGAGCACGCCCGGTGTGCAAAGGACGAAGGACTCATAAAGGATGCCAT